TCTTAATCCAACGAGGCATGGTTAGTGTCATTTATACCACTTCATACTGGTGAAATTTCATAGTTTTATAACTTAACTTAATCAGAACAGCTTTGAAGTAATATGAAGAGCTCTAGTTGAGACCCATAGTCAGAAAAATATGTGGAGGTGATGTGCATAAAGAGGCTATGTATTCAAAACGCGAATAACAACAGTGTAGGGTTCGAATGTTATGACAAATGCATTGTATGGTCTTGTTTCTGGAAGGCTCCTTTTGAAGAGTGAATTAGAATGCGAAAATAAAGGGCCCACTTTGATCATCCCAAGTAGTAGTTGTAGCAGAAAGGCGAAAAAGTATCGAGAAAATGCTATGGAGAGCAATGTAGGGAGTGGGTAGAATTTTTCGGATGTGACTTTGTCAAGCTGCTAGTTCACTTGGGAAGGCAAAAAGTCAAAGTAGAAAAAACATATTGTGGAACTAAGGCAGCGTAAGCTCACGGGCAATGCCAATCATTCGGACACAACTTCTTCTGCAAAAGATCCAGAATGTGGACACAGTTGCGCAGTGTGTTAGCACGGAATGTTGAGATAGCAATCGAGAGGGGGAAATGTTGGCAAAAGTCGTTGATGTCTGGAGTTGAAGCATTGGAGTGTTTACTGTTGGTAACCGTTGCCATAGAGAAGGAAAACAGTATTTAACTGCGCTGCTGTTCACATCCACATGCATACACGCAGTAAATAAAAAACAAAAAAAATAAATTCTGGTAAATTCTGCCCACGCCAAGTAAGAACAAACAAAAGGTTGGTGTAAATGATTCGAATAAAGGCTAGTAGATACCCTTATATAAAATGTTATGTATACATTACGATAGTGCCAATGACGACGAAGGGTTTGCGCATAATTTCTCGTTTCGTGGGCAATATTTGAAGCATTCAAGTCGACTTTAGAAACCAACTTTGCTCTGCAAATGCATGCAGAAGAGCACGTTCTGCCTTTTCTTAATGCCAGATAAGTACACAATTGCGTAATTCTCTATGTCCACACTCTCAACGTCGTAAAATATCTTAAAATTCTTCGATAAGTCCTCTTTTTCCTACCTGCTATCTTATAATCAAGCCGCTCGTTAATTTACTAGATATCGCCACTATTTTAACTATGAAAATCACTTTCTTTGATTGTCCAAAGCATCCCTCGCCTTGAGATTAAGTCGAGCTTAAGGGTTTCCTGCACTTCCCTTGCAACCCTTCGAACGTCGAATAGAAGAAAGAGAATGTTCAGATCTGACCAAAGGGAAAATGCCAGTCGCCCCAGCATACTTGACATACTCCCTCTCCAGAAAACAATTTGCGTTGGAATCGAAATGCTGGATTTCAAAGCATACTGGTACACTGATGGATCCAGCAATTAATTGAAGGACAAGTGTTTCATTGTTTGTTGCATTTGCGCTGCAAACCAATTCTGCCTCACATGTTCATAATGGTATTTTAAAGTACAAGATGAATTAAAGTACTGGCAAGAGCGCCGAACTATGAAGGTGCCCTTGGAAATTCATTTCACTTACTGATGCACGAAGGACAGCTTCATCAAGTCTGCCAAACTGCAATTACTTTCACTGGATGCTTCGAAGTCCGCTAGGTGATCAGAACTGTTCAGTGTTTGATCGTTTCCCTCCGAAATTGCTGCATTGTAGCATGCTGAAAAAAACTTTAACTTCATTTGAATTTATAGAGTGGATGGAGTTAAATTTGATTTCTGCCATTTGGATAACCACCGATACACTACAAAAAAATACATTATTCCACGATGCAAAAGTTAGCGCCTCCCAAAACCCCTCGAACTCTTTTGAAAAGATGTCCAATCATATTCTGCCAAATGCTGTAGGATCACTGAAGTTTCTAACGTTTTTAAATTACAGAGGTAGCCCTGGTCGAGGCATAAAGCTCTCCACGAGGGTCTTTACAAATCGTGTGTTTGTGAATCCGGCTTTGCTTTTACAATGAAAGTCGGATTACGAACAGCCAGTCCCTCCTAATATGCCTTTTCAGCTGTTCACATAAGTGATGGCGTTAACATTTATCCCTTGATGGATTCGGTAATTCAAGCTGTCGAAAACATCGCCACAAGTGCAGTATTGTGAAGGCATCGAAAATTTAAGGGAATATTTCTTACTCAACCACAGGTTGCTCCGAAAAATGGAGCTACCACAACAGTTTTGGCCAGTCCTTCACGGGAGAGGGTACGAGGGGTGCGGAGGGTGTAATTATTTCCAGCTTGATGGGCACCTTGGTGCGCCGCTTCGTGCGGTGTCGTCGCGAATTGGCCACTCAGGAGAACATCAGTCTCTTCACGGAGGTGCGCCACCTCCTCACTTATCTCAAGTCCGTCCACGGTAATACTTTTAGACGGGCTCTACTCTGTTCCCTTCTCTGTCCCATGCGAACCGCCTTCATGAGGAATAAACCCTCTGTAATGCTGCCAAGGCCGCGAATGTAAGCTTCATTCTTGCCTGACACATTTGCCGCCAGTGCTGCAGAATTTCCAATCACAAATACGCTACCTCTGACTTTGTTTGTTTGAAGTTCACAAGCATAATGGTGGAGTTTTTTAACACTGATTAAGACAAAGCTATTTCATCTCATGCTGTCAACTGTTTATTCTCAGAGCATACATTAAGGCAAACTTCTGACGTACTGCATTTCAAGCAAGCCTGGTCAAGTTTTTTTTTTATTCTTTCATTCATTCCTCTTGCCAATTAAGTCTGCATAAAATACAGCCAGTTCAATGCTTGCCTTGTTATTTCGGTTCCTGGCTATTCGTTGTCATTACCATTTCGATCTCATATCTTTATTTTTAAATAGGCTCTCCACGAGAAATTCGCTCTGGCCCACACCCGCCTCCAAAAGGCCTTCTATGGTTGTGCCACCGACCGATTTCATCGATGTCGGCGATTTTACTCCTGGTCTGCAGAACAAGCGATTGCATGGTCAGAACTGGAAGTCAGGTAGCACGCGTAGCAGTCTTCATCAAAAAAATAAGGAGACTTTCTTTTACAGTACACTATAATGTTCGAGTGGTTATAAATGAGTTAACAACCAAAAATATTTTATTGGAGAGGCGTTTGATGATGATTACATGTGCAGCCAGTTGGGAGCCTCTTAAATTGTCGTCTGTTGTTCGGATAATTAATAACACCTCTTAGCCATTCCTTTGTATAGCCACTGATAGACAATCTGAAAGACAAAGAATAAAGTATATTCTCATTTCATTGCAACTGAATATAGCAGAGACAAAGTACTACAAACCTGTGATTGAGAGGAGGCTTGTGGATCTCCCAGCATTGAAGGAAAACCTACGTGATTTTGCCTTTCTCCTTGAATGTTTGGAGCCTGGAACTCTGCCAGAACCACAACTGGTTGCCTCCTTTCTCGATCTGGTAAGCCAAGTGAAACATTCTATTTGCCATTCATCAAAACGCTGAAAGCACTAGTAGCAAGATTAGTATGACTTTGGTGAGCCTGTGTTGTCCTCTGATAGCCAAAAAAGCACGAGCTAGATGGGAGATGGCAGAGGTGCAGTTAAATTAATTAGTCATCGGTGTAAAAGGGCGTCTCTCCTTCTATGAAAAGCTGGCGACGGGTGGTATAAGTGCGAGACGATTTTCTGGACACATAATATTGTGTCAGATTGTTTGCTTTAATGCTAGCTATCGACCGTAGAAACTAATGAGGGCGTTTGTAGGCAAAACTTTTTCGCAGGAAAGATGTTTCTCAGCCAAGCACTGCATGAAACGTGATAGGTGGCGCTCGATGTAACCAGATATTGTGTGTCATACCGTCTGATCTCAGATGCAACCATTGCTAGTAGTTTGTGCTTTGTGCAAGAACGCTAGGCTTGTAATATATTCACATGTTATAAGGTATTTTTAGTTGCAGTAAAAGAAGTACGCCTATGGAGTATGGCCTGAGCCAAATGTAGATCATGAATATGTTTCCCTTCAACTTGCCTTTCTCCTGGTAGAACGCACCGGTGCTGGCCAGAGCCTGTCTGCTCTTAGAGTGTGCCTTCTTCGTGCATCGTTGCAACCGCGGAGAGTGGCCAGCATGGATGAAAATTAACTTACCACTGCCGATGCAACAAGCTGAACATCTGACCCAGTCCACCACCTCACAACGAATCGCTATTTCAATTTCGGGGCCTGCCAGCACTGGCGCTGACCCTATTGACATGCGTAGCTCTGCGTTTCGCACCGCAGCTCAAATCCAGTGGTCAGCTGGTCGCCTCTTCCACAGCTGGGCTGAGGTTTAACCTCTCTTCTCTCACCTCCTCTCACCAGACTTTAGTTAGGCTACCAAAGCCATTTAAATAGTATCTTAGACTGGATTATTGTCACATTTCGTTAGGCAAGGAGCACGTGATCTCTAGCATGTTGTAAGCGTACTTTGTGAGTGTTTAGATAAGGTCTTGAGACTTTATAATACTAGGTCATGACTTAGCTGCTTTTGAAAACAAAACAACTTTCTGTATGTCAAAACATCATACAACGAGGTTAAGTTAAATTCCCATTCTGGAGAAACTGATAGAAACTCTTTAATGGCCTTTAAAAGCAGTCTAATGCGGCCCGACTATTGCTCCATAGAAGGTTTCCTGTTTCGCATTTCTGTGCTTTATTCTGACTGTCATCCGCAAAATTGACGATAGTGAAGTAAATAAATTTCGCTAAAACAAGGTCGGCTATGATTGGGATTACTCTGTCAAAAAACGATGGGGGGATTACTGTAACGAATTTTCTGAAATTTTGGCCCCTCCTAGAGCGCATAAAAGGGTTCATTTTGGATGCATTAGTGAGTGCATAATGTATAGCGAAGAATTTTGCACATTTTTTCACTTGTTTGCCAACAGGATGAATGTTAGTACCACTGGATTGTGAGTAATTGAGGTCGGCTAATGCATGGGTTGAAATGTGTCAATAACTTTTTCATAAGTATCTTGGGAATATTGCCTCTCACTGGAATTTCATCAATGATGAGTTAACGCCCGTGGTAATCAAATCATCCATAGGTTTGCGTGTTGTAACTAATCGTCGTAGACTGCCTAGTCAGTGTTCGAAGTGGCGTTGATCCACCCTTGAAAGGTGTCGAAAATTTACGCCAGGTTGTGCACTAACTGCACTTTTGTATTTTCGAAACTTGCATCTTTAGCAAATGAACGAAATTTCGGCAAAGATTTTTTTTTATGGAACCAGTCATTTATGGGGAGAACTTTGGGTTCGATTCTAGGGTTGTACTTTCTAATGTATCACATTATGACAAGTCATTTACGCGATGCGATTTCGCCGTGCAAGATATTTGTTTCATTTCCAGGCTCTGGGAATTCGCATTATGGCATTTTTGGAGGAGAATTCGTCGGCAGAAATTTATCTCAGTCGGGATTTTCAAAGCGATGAAAACTTCCTCGATGATGGTGAGACCCTTATCATTTGTCTACTATGTGGTCACTAAAGTGGTTCCAACATTTGGTGTGATTCACAAGCGTATGGAAGTAGTGGAAGCCAAATCTGGACTTAATGTAAACAGGACGCAGGAAATATGTGTCATGAAGCAAAACAGTGTTAATTGTGAGTTTATTAGGAAGAGATAAATTAGTGTAACACGTACCCTCTCTCCTGTGTTCCCTTCACTTACCGGAACACCTCGATAAACCTCCTCCGAGCTCCGGAATACCTATGCTTCTATCCCTTTTTCTTCGTTTTTTATCCACTAATTTCGAACTGCCTTTTTATTTGATTTATGAATGTACTCTGACAAATTTGTTTTCAGCCACGGTAAATCCAAACGGAGATAGCTGTCCATACGCTTTGCTCGTGATGGCAGTGCAGTTGTTGAACGAGATAACCACCTTCCTACGTGAATCGCACCAGCATGCAACCCGTGCACAGATGGTTGCCGCCTCCTCTTCCTCCTCCTCAGCCACTGCGCGTACAGTGGATCACTCAAATCAGTGGGACAGTGGTGGTGGTGGTGGTGCAAACGGTCCTCGCACTCTTGCTGGCACTTCTGCTGTTCCCTCATTTGGCGCCTTAAAATCCACTCGACGTCGTCTCAGCATCCTCATGCCCATGTTTGCGCAGCCTGAGGTCAAAGAAAAGCACAATTCTGTGTATATTGAACTCTCTAACGTTCGTGGTGAGGACGGTGACACCGCCTCGAGGATCACTGACGAATACGGTAAGCAATCGAACAGAATTAACGCAAATCTTGTGAAATTACGGGAGTAGGTCCTTGCAGTGAATGGGCACTAAGGTTATTGCAAAATTATGGTTTGACAGAGACGATTCATCCCCTCTCTGGAACTGGCGGCCATAGTAGCAGGCAGATCAGTTTTGCTGTCAATGACAATGAACGCGAAAGATGCAATTCACTACAGGGAAGTGTGTCCTCGTTGGATATCCAAAGCGAAGTCGTCGGGAAACCATGTAAGTGACAGTCACTCGATAGTTTCCATAAGATCGCAGTGATGTGGTTGGAAAATGGAAGAAAGGAGGACAAAGAACACCAATGTTGAGGTCAATTTTATCGGGGAAGGTGGTTCATCGACACTATGAACTGGTGGAAAATTTTACTTTTTGATTAGCTTCATAGCGTTATTCTGCATTGGAATGCAGCATACCGACATATAGTTGCGCCCAAATTAGTTGTGCTGGAACTCGGCTTAGCCATGTCAACTGAGGGAGGTGCATGACACTGCTTCAGGAAGAAATCTGGAAACACCTTACCACAAAGAATAACCTTATAAAGGTTAGGTTTCTGGTCAGAGATTTTGCAATTCTCAATGCTTGTGGATTCTCTGAAATAAACTTTGCAAAACCTGTCATCATGCTTGATTGTAAGTTTTCCAATCATGATTGTCAACAAAAAACAGGTTCGGAAATCATCTACATGTGTTAATGCTCCTTGATTTTGCAATCGGTGGAGCACTTTTAGGAGCCTGCTGGCGAGTACAATCAGCT